CGGTGATGTTTAAGGATGCCCAAGCTGTTGTCTCAAGCTGTGAATCGTGTCAAAGGCATGGTAATATCAAAGCCAAGCCGAGTCTCATTGATGAGAAGTACCTGAGCAAGAGTGGTTTCTTCGAAGGCAAGGTAGGGAACCAATGGGCTTACAACTTCAAGCTGTTGCATAGAGATGACACACAGGTCCTCTTGCCGAGCCGAGCCATCAAAACGTTCCAAGAGAGACGTAATATCACTTTTACCCTTATGTTTGGGGTGAGCCTAAGTATCACACAAAAAGTTGTACTCAAGGGTCAATGGTCTTAAAAAATGGTGCAAATGGCAGGACAAGACGATTCATAAGCTTGTCGCTTGCGTGAGAAATTTGAAGAAGAAAGTGAAGAAGCTCACAGCACCTGCCTCACCTGACAAAGACTCGGCCACCTCACCTGCACCAGTTAGAAGAGAAGAAGTTGGTGAAAGCTCTACAGCACGAGATCCTGCGTTCCCACCGGGAAAAGAAGATTGGATCAACCCGGCCACAGCGTTTCTACCGGACTCACCGGAGAGCAGTCCACCAAGGGAGCCAACACCATCTTGCTCCACCTCCAATCCCTGGTATTACGTGGGATCCGACCTCAGTGATTAAGGTAACTACTCCAGACCCTTGTCCATATGCATCTTGTTCATATCATTTCACATTTTACTTGTTTTGCTTTTGCTTTTCTCTCACGCTTTCATAACACAAGGGACTGTGTTATTTAAGTGTGGGGGAGGAGCTTTGTGTCTACTGATCATGTTTTCTTTGTTCTTATTTTCTTTTTGCATTTTGAGTCTCATATAGTTTAGTCTAAATGCATATAAAAACCAAAAAAATTGAAAATCAGAAAAATTTTCACAAAGAATGTTCATTCTAGTTGCATTTCACATTTTTAGGATCGAGTCTAGCTGCATCATATAGGATCGCATCCATGCACGGGAGTAATGATAGGTTTTTCCTTGAGAGATTATCGCTTTGAGTACTTAGATTTCCATGCTTGTTGGTTCCTTGTTGCATGCGAGACTTAAAACAAGCTGAATCTGTGAAGCAAGTTTGAATTTGAACTCGGCTCTAATAAGTGAGAACCATTGAACCTGACTTGTAAATATCTTGTGATGCATTGTTTGAGTGAGCATTGTGGATACACATATACATATTTGAGCTAGAACCCGTTTTGCCACTCTTTTCCTTAACTCAAGTAGCTGAATCCGCATTTGGATCAGTTTTCCATACCATGAACCCATTCTTCTTTCAAGCCTAAAACATTTCATGTGTGAATTCTGAGGCCACCTTGGATCAAAGCTTAACAGAAAGTGTTAGGTTTAGAGCGACAAGGGCAAGTCTCATGAGTGTCAAGTTCCAACATCAAGGAACTATTAGGTCTAGGCTGTGAATAAGTGTGGGGAGAGGTGTCATTGAGTGAGAGTTTTGAGAGAAAACATCTTTGAGAGAGAAAAGAGAGTGTGTGAAAATGAGAGTGATGAGAAGTGAGGGTTTTGAAAAGAAAAGAAATCGGTCTTGGATCTTGTGTTTTACAAAATAAAAGAGAGGTCTTAGTATCTAAAAGAAGGTATCTAACATCTGAGTGAAACAAAAAGAAAATGAAAAGAAGCCAAAACGGCTCATGTGTTTAAAAAGAGAAAATGAGAGGTTAGATAAGCAAAGTTGTGAAAAAAAGAGCTGGGTGTAAAAAGAAGATCCCAAGCCGAGAGTCTAAAAGAAAGAAAACCCTTTTGAGAGATGAAAGTGAGTGAGAAGAGAGCTGAAAGGTTCATTGTGAGAGTGCGAGCTTGAGATGTCTTTGGGTAAAGGAAGTGAGCTGAGTCTTGCTCTTGTATGCGCCCATTGCTCTTTACCTTTAGAATTTTGCCGAAGCTTTGATCGTTCATAGAGAGATCCTTAATTGCTTTGAACCCTGATCGTGCATTTGCATTTGAATGAGATCATTTTCATCTCATAGCCTCATCCTGAGCCAAACATTACTCGCTTGAACTTGCATCATTGGACTCACTTAGTAAACGCTTAATGAATGTCAAAGAGCTGAGTGATGAGAATAACTTGTGGGGATTGTTGTTGAATTTTGAGCATCAAAGTAGAGTCTTGCATTGCACTTGGAATGGGCGACTTGGAATCTGAGTCTCTTTGTGATTGTATCTCTCTCCCATAAGGAATATGAACTCCCATTGCATCCAACCTCTTTCTCTCATTTTATCTTTTTGCTTGAGGACAAGCAAAGGACAAATGTGGGGGAGTTGATATGTCTATAATTTACATCATTTAGATCACATTTTAGAGTCCAAATCATATCTTTTCTCTTACATTTTTGGTCTTTAGGCATTCATTTAGACCTTAAGGTTTGCATTAGGTCCCAAAGAGTTTTGCATAGTTTGGAGTCTTTATCAGGTGATTCGAAGGTTGTTTTGAGTTCAAGAGGTGTGATCAAGAGTTGAAACGGTGAGGAAAAGGGTTAAAAATGGTGAAAACGGCAAAACAGAATTTCTCGGCAAAAACATGTACCAGCTGGATTAGTTTTATCGGCTAAAAATGCTATCGGGTGATTTCTCTCGGTCAAAAATCAGTATCGGGTGAGAATGCTGTCGGGTGAAGTTTTATGCCAAGACAGGATATTTTTATCGGCTAAAAAGCTTACCGCGGTACACGGTTCTCGGATATTTTCCTTACTGCGGGAAGCATTTCTCGGCTAAAACCTGTTTGCACCTGCGCGCTTCAAAGATTGAAAATCCGGGGAAACTTCTGGTCCGAATCAGTTAACGGGGTCTTCATCAAAGTTGGAGATGATCAAGTCAAGATTCCATAACAGTTGGAGTTACTGAATTCGGAGCAGTGAGCAGAGAGATATCGTCACTGGGAGATATACTTGTTTCGCACGCATTCTAAGCCGATATGATGAGCTTTATAGATTACGTGGGATGATGCCTTTCCAGTTCGGTTCAGTTGTTGTGACCTTTCATTATTATTCAAGGTATTTGTGTGAGATTTCCAGAACATTTGCGATCACCCGATTTGGAGTTGTGGCCGGAAAGATATCGTCTCTGGAGTGAACAAAGGTCCAAGAGCTGTTTTCCTAACATTCCGATGTGATGCAAAGATGAGCAATCCGGGGAACCTTCCACTTCCCAAGCTCCGATGGTTTCTTCACCAAAGTTTGATCGGAATGAGTGATCTTGACTGTAGAGTTGGTTTCAAGTCGTTTGGAGTTGTGTGCTGAAAGTTATTGCAACCGGGATACAAGCGGGTCGGTATAAGCTTCAAGAGCTGCGATACGTGCTAAGTGTTTATACAGGCCTCGGTGTCATTCCCTCGACATTGCCTAAGCCGAGTCCTATTCCCTGAAGATTGTTGGTCCAAGCCTCGTGCTAACCCCTCGGTGTATCAAGACCGAGGCACATATGCTGAGAAGACAAGCTGAAAATGACTAAGTGGTGAAGCTAGACCTCGACTTCAAGACCTCGGCATTGCATGTCGAACCTCATCTCCCTTGATCCCTCGACTACCAAGCCCCTTGGCATGCCTATGCCGAGGTCCTTTGGCAGAAACCCAGAATCAAGAACCAAGCTGATCTAAAGAGTGGACGTGAATATGAATCAAAGACTAGGGTTCATGCATATTCTTGGTGAGTTCTTCATGAGTTCTTCATCTTGATCTTTGCTCACGTACACCCCTTGACGTCTATACCTCGGCATTGGACTCTCACACACCGAGGACCTGACCCATGCACCCAAGAAGACCGGTTCAGTACCTGGTTTTTTCCGGGCTGACCTGCATCACTTAGCTTTACTATATATAGTTTTAGGGACTAAAACCCTACTTATCTTATCTCTTATCCTGTTTTATCTTTGAGAACTTGCCTCTTTTGTGAAAACTTGCCTCTTTAATCAGATATCTCGTTTTCACGTAAACATCATGTTCTGTTTCATTTCTTTTCATCATCATCAAAGCTTCTAATCATGTCTAGCATCACTTCTTGCAAAAGATTGAGTTTTCTTTTCATGATTAGTGAGTAACGTTGAGGTTTTAGATAGGTAGATTATGGTGCATAAATGCTAGGTTCGCGAGTTTAGGTTCTAGATCTGCATTATGCATTCTCTACTAAACCGATCTCTATGCTGGATCCATGAACATCACATGTGGTCCAGATCTGAGGTGTTTCACGCCTGAGAAGTGTTCACTGAAATACCTGAACCAGGTTTAGTTAGAGGTTTAAGAGTCTTTCATCATGATAATGATAGTTTTCTTCTCTTAAATGACTTATTGAACTGATTATTAATGCTTGCTGATTCATGCTTCTCAAAAGGGATTTTGGTATAAAAGAGGATTGGCATAGAAGCTTAATACCTTCATGGGAGGATTAACTTATCTTTGAGTTCATGTTAAATGAAGTTGCTTGATCATTCAGTTCATTAACTCGCCTGTCTAGTATGGAAGCACCCGAGTCTTTTATCCTGTCTAAGACCTCAGCCTCATCATTCATACATAAACTGCTTGTCTATCTTGTTTACTTGTCTTTTTATTTGCATCTTTGCTTAGTTAAATCTCTTATTTTTGTTCATTTGCTTGCACTTTAAGTAGTCTAGACTTCAAAACCATTTCTTGATTGCCCTTGACTTAAGTTATAAGCATCATAAACTAGTGTCTAACCACAAGCTTGGATTTGATACCTTTGTATTACAACTACAGGGGATTGATATCTCTTCAGGACTAAAAAGTCTTAGTTATCACCGCCTTCTCGACTGTTATCACCAGGATGTTATCGGATTGGTGCAAGATTAAACATATACTCGAAGACTCATCTTCTTAGGGCCATTCGTTCAGCTTTGGAAGGCACCGACGAATTTGACACTATTGTGAAATCTCAGTTTGGAAGACTGTTTGAGTTCACTATTGCTAGATGCGCTAACTCCGCCAAATTGATTCATGCTCTACTATGCCGCATGCTTGTAAAGAAGAAAAAACACGAGATGTGGTTTGTATTTGGTGGTAAACCTCTACGCTTTTCTCTTCGAGAATTTCATATCATTACTGGTCTTAGCTGCAGTCAAATTCCATCAGAAAATGAGATAGAAGAGCATATGAATCTTGACTCTATATCTATGTGGAAGAGACTATTTGGAGCTGACAATCTAAATATTGATGTGCCGCAAGTGATTGCGATGTTGCAAGACTCGTATCTATCTGATTGGAAGAAGCTGCCCCTTGCCTTAATTGTTATTTTAGATGGCATTGTCGTCTGTCCAGACAAACACCTCAAACTCACCCTTGAATACGTCGAAATGCTGAACGACATTGATTTCTTTCTTACTTATCCTTGGGGCAGAGAATCATTTCTCCAGACATATGCTAGGTTAGGTCCTCCTGCTTCTTCTGCAGAGGTTTCAATAGGAGATCCAATTAAAGAGCTTAGAATTAGGTTGATGCAGCAGAATGCCGCATGTTATGGATTTCTTCTCCCTCTTCAACTTTTAGCGTTTGAAACAATTCCACTGTTGCTATCCAAGATTCCATCGTTTGATGATTTCACAAATTTCTTCGAATATACTGGTGGTAAGCTCTCTGAAACGATTCTCCATTATGAAAGTATCATTGAAACTGAATCAGACCCAGAGGTACCCCATTTCATCAGTTAATTGTGCAATCCATCCTCTATTACCCTCTAGATTTGAGTAATACTGTTGTTTTTTTTTTTTCAGTTAACTGTGCAATCCATCCTCTATTACCCTCTAGATTTGATTCATATGGATTTTAGTTGGGAGGATGACGTTCAAGATGAGAAAGTTGAATATTTAGAGAGTCTTATATGCGGTGGATATGAATTTGAAGCATATGACTTCTTTGGTGGTGATGCTTCTATTCATCCTTTGACATCAAATAAAAAAACTGTCAAGGAAGAAGTCAACATGAAAGAAGAAGCACAGGTCAATAAAAAACTTGTCAAGAAAGAAGTAAACGTAAAGAAAAAAGTATGGGTCAAGAAACTCGGCCAGTGCCCTCGCCAACCTAAGGTAACACAAACTAGCAGCCAAGAAGGAGTCAGTTCAGAATGAACCATCCAATTTTGAGGATAATGTACGTGGGTAACCGTTCAATCAAATCAAGGTATTTGTGGTTCAGGCTATTGACAATCTTAAGAAAGATATTTTTGAGAAGTTAGATTCAATGAATGCTGCTTCTCCGAGGTGAAAGAAAGCAGATGATGTTGCTTCAACAGTTAAAGAAACAGTTAATGGAGCCCAAGATGAAGAGGTAGTTATGAGTAATGCTGAGTTAAAGAAAAAAGATCAAGCCCGAATATGGATCTGATACACCATTTGATGATACAAATGTTGGGAGTAAAAAACATTGACGGTTGATGGGCGACTACACTGGTGTTCACGATGTTCTTACCGAGATAAACAGTACAAATGTAAGTCTGATTAAACTATGCATTCACGACTTAATTGGTGTTCACGATTTCATTTATTTAATAGCATTTTTCATTTGCAGCTCCATCTCGCGGTTGATTTACCCATGCTATTAAAATTGCAGGTCACTCCAATACATGATAAGTCACTGCTAATAATTCATTACTTTGAATACATTGTTCAACAATATGTGTATTCATGGTTGTGGTTTTATGGTTGTTAAACTTTTCCTTTTTACTTTAGGATTTTGATCTACATTCAGCAATTTTGCTCCATTCAATGGCAACACCAATACCAGCCAGCCTTCATACACCTCATATCACAGCCCAATATCATGGAAAACGTGTCCCCCAAAGATCTGAGTTGCTTCGTGATCAGTACACCATTGATCCTCGTGTCAAAGTCTTGTTCGCAAGTCGTAAAAAGAAATCTGGATATGCCCCAATTCTACCATTTATAAGAATGAGTTTGAGGATTTATTTTTGAAATCCTATCAAAAGATCCAGATCAGTGAGTTCTTTTTTCATTGCCTATAATTTATTTGATCATTTTACAATACATTTTCTCTTATCTATTGTTCGTGTGCAGAGAATACACAATTGTTACTGGCCACACTGGCACCAACAAGTTCTTTCTCCCCATTACCGAAATACAAGAATGGGTGTTCACTGACATACATCTTCACATCCTTATAATTTAATACTTCAATGTATATTATTTGCCATATATAATTTGTAATGATGTTTGTTATTTCTATTGTTCTACTCTCAGCATATGCAAGTTATTATGTCTATGTTCTAGAGGCGTAGAGGTGAGTTTTATCTGAAAGACAGGGCGGCACTTATTAATCCATGGTTTACATCTCTTATCATCGTAAAGTACTCTGGTTTCAGAGCTGCTAAGGATAAAGCTAATTTTTCATGGGGCACTGGCTGAAAAACTTTGTCTTAGGGGAAATTAATTGGTAAATCACTGAAGTCTGAGTTTTTGAAAAATTTTGACATCGTGTACACCCCAATGAATTGGTCGAACACCCATTGGATGTGTTTGGTGATAAATCTGAGGGTTAGTTCGATAGAGATATTGGATCCATACACTGCACTATAGTACAACAAAGATGTTGCAGCACTCATGGCACCTTTTGTAGAGTCATTTTCATGGATTTTGAAAAGCTTCCTGCCAGTGGAAACTGCTCCTAAAATCCAAACCACACTGTATACATGGTTTCAGACCGAAGGTATATTCTAATGAAAGGAAAGGCGATTGTAGACCAGTAGCTGCTAAGTTTCTAGAGATCCATGCTGGTGGTTATGGTATCGAAAAGATGTCTGAATTAAAGACATAGATGTTGATTAGTTCCATAAACAATATGCTATAGACTGTTTTGACGAGTTTGCAGCAGTGGCTACGAAGTGATTCTCATTTATATATGTGTTGGATTATCCTTTTCTTAAACTTTTATGTTGATGATTTTTAATTAGACTTTTTATGTCTTTTGATATGTATGCAGACTTATCGTCTTAGACTTTATGTATGCATACTTATCGTCTTAGACTTTATGATAATTTATGGTATTTAAACTTTATGATGTTTTAACATTATGGTTATGGTATCTCGTTATAATATTTTTATTTCTTGTAAAGATATCATCTCAGGTGTTCACGTTTCAATATTGGTGTATATTGAAGTAAACGTTTTGGTGAGAAGAAAAGGCTTCTTTTCGTAAAATCACATTCTCTTCCTTAACACAAGTCATGTTATGGCCTTTTCGTAAACAAACATTGTCTAACATAGATATTACTTAGGCTAAATCATAATACGCATAGCCTCTACTAAATCATGTAGGCTATGCGTAGTGCAGAACATTTAACATAGCACTTTTCACAACTCGTGAAATAATAATTGGAATAGTGATCAGGGCAGTTGTAACACCCCCGACCCAATTCTATTCATTACTTAGATCGAGCCGAAATCGTTACAATTCGGAGACGGACTCAGATCGGCCCGAGTATCCCATACTACTCAAACTAATCCATGACCGTAACCGTTCCTCAAGCTTACAGTCTAAGGCTTTTCAACCCATACTATGAACCCGAGTTGTTTCAAACCGGACTAGATCTAGTATTATTAAGTCGAGGTTTTTGTGAGAAAATACATCTTTATTATATATTGAAAATCTCTTTACAAAAACATAATATTCGATGCATCTTATCACAAAAATTGTACTTAATTATACTTTACATAATTTAAGATCTTACAAGAACACTGCAATCTACTCTGGCTCTTCTAGTGTCTGTTGCCTTTCCTATATGCCCCGGTCTCTACGGCTACCTGCGAGATACAAAAGAGTCATGAGTATTCACCAATACTCAGTGAGTCCTGACTCTGTCACACAATCCACCAAATCTTGCTTAACACACATAGCCGAAGCAAAAGCAACAAGGAAAGCAATGGAAAATTCAAGCCAAGCAATCACAATGTTCTCACACAATCACCACACACAGGGAAGCTATTAAACCATAATCACAATCTCAATGTTTTAGATCACTACTCTAAGTGCATCTACAGATTTTATTTCACCATGCAAGGGCCCATAAATGTGCCTTGTTCAACCAAACATGCACCAGTTCGACACATCTACCCCGTGAGCCACCAGGCACACTCCGATCACCACACATGAACACAGAGTGGGCTCACGTTCCGACCATGTACACGGTCCACCGACCAGTCTGGCCACACTGCATGCAGCGCTCGGCTAAGGGCGCGACCCTAGGTTCTCCCCGAGCTTCACCGTTGAGCTGTGTCTAGACCGAGGAATTCCTCTCTGAATTCTCTCCGGTCTGATCCTACATGCAATCTACATGCATCACACAATTAACTTACGGGTCTCTCCTGTATTTCTCACAAGACTCACGGGCCTTTCTGTAGCCTGCCCATCTGGGACTTCTCACTGAGTTCAACAGTTCTCAACCGTCTCTTGCTTCAAGGTATGGTGGTATTGAGTCATGAATGCAGTGTCATCATTCAGAGAAAGTCCATCCCAAGAAAGTTAACTGATCCAGGGAGCTTCACACTCCCTTGTGCCATAGGTCCCCTGATGTTTTCTGGGTGCCTTTATGATATGGGAGAATCTGTCAGCTTAATGTCATTCTCCATAGCAAGGAAGCTTGGATTTAGAGTGTTCAAACCTGCTAGGATCTCTCTTGTCCTTGCATACAGATCAGTTAGGTTACCTATTGGGATGTTAGATCTGCCTGTCAAGATAGGTGGTTTTGAGGTTCCTACTGATTTTATTGTGCTAGAGATGGATGAGGAACCAGTTGATCCTCTTATTTTTGGCAGGCCATTCTTGGCCACAGCAGGAGCAATTATTGATGTGAGAGGTGGCATCATAGAGCTTCAACTTGGTTCTGAAAGGCTGAAGTTTGATGTGAATGCAATGATGAAGAAGCCAACAATAGAAGGGCAATGCTTCTATGTTGAGACAATGGATGAGCTTGCTGATGAGCTTTTGGAAGAGTTAAACACAGAAGATCATCTTCAGATAGCTTTAACAAAGGAACATGGAGAGCATGGCTATCTAAAAGATGAAACTTTGGACCTCACGAAGCTTTTAGACTCTCATAAGCCAGATGAGAGCACAAGTTCATACCTGAACCTGCATTATGAAGGTCTTACAGCTCAAGAGAATCAGTTTAAAAGCTTGGAACACTCAAGGTCCTGTGTTCCTATCGACGTGCTGCATCAAGATAGTTTGGTCGATATTTTAAACCAAGACGCCGAGATATTATCGACCAAACTATCGACCAAAAGCATGTCGATATTTCAAGATGCCGAGACTGATCAACATGCCGAAAAAATATCAACCAAAGTATCGACCAAAAGCATGTCGATATTTCAGGATCCAAAAATATCGACCAAACTATCGACATGTTTCATGGTTGATGCTACCACGGCGGCCAAGGAGGAAAAAGGGTTTCAAGAGATGAATAAGGGTGTTCAGAAGCAATGCAACAAGGCTAAAGGTGAAGCACAACAAGCCTCACAAGGTGCATTTGACAAAGATTGGGATGAATCTAAGGCACCTTAATTGGAACTCAAACCTCTTCCCAAGGGGCTCAGGTATGCTTTTTTAGGTCTCAATGAGTCTTATTCTGTCATTATCAATGATATGCTATTAGAGGACCAAGAGCATATGTTGTTAGAAGAGTTGAGGAAACATAGAGGAGCCATTGGCTACTCTCTGGATGACATAAAGGGTATCTCACCCTCCCTATGCACTCATAGGATTCACTTAGAAGAAGAGTCTATGTCATCCATAGAGCACCAAAGTCGTCTCAATCCCAACTTAAAAGAGGTAGTGAATAAAGAGATTCTCAAACTCCTAGAGGCTGGGATAATTTATCCAATCTCAGACTCTAGATGGGTTTCACCAGTCCATGTGGTGCCCAAAAAGGGGGGAATGACAGTAATAAGAAATGAGAAGGATGAGCTGATTGCTACTAGGACTATAACTGGACACAGGATGTGTATAGATTATTAAAAGCTCAATGCAGCCTCTAGGAAATACCATTTTCCTTTACCTTTTATTGACCAAATGCTAGAGAGGCTTGCAAACCATCCCTTCTTTTGTTTTCTAGATGGTTACTCTGGATTCTTTCAAATCCCCATACATCCAAGAGACCAAGAGAAGACCACATTTACTTGTCCTTATGGTACATTTGCATACAGGCGCATGCCTTTTGGCCTTTGTAACGCCCCTGCCACATTCCAGCGATG